AGAGAGAGAGAGAGAGAGAGAGAGAGAGAGAGAGAGAGAGAGAGAGAGAGATCTTCTTCCTCCTCCGGTCCACCACCTTCCTCTTCCCCTCCAGCACTCTGACTTCTTCTTATCGGACCATGAGAGAGAGAGAGAGAGAGAGAGAGAGAGGGATTGGCGACATTGGGATTCGGACTCGACATTGGACAGAGACGTCGTGGGGGACTATCTGGGAGTGATATCAACGACATTTGGGTTGACGACATTCTCATCTGCTCCCCCACTGTTTTTCGTCTCTTCCCCCTCCTCCTCCTCTGTGTATGAGCTGTGCCTGGTGCCTTCGTCCTTGTGTGTGGCGCCAGGCCATTCACACCGTGTGATGATGATAATGATTTATGTCCAGTCTGCATTTCGACATTGATTGGATCAGATCGTTGGTATTCTAGTCTTCCGTTGTGCTATCTGGCTCTATCTATGAGAGGGCCGTACTTGGTTCTGGTCTGCACCACCCCGCTATGTGACAGTTTGGTATCGGAGCAGACCTCTCGAAAGAGGACCTGCCCAGTCAAGAAGCCAACTTGATTGATTGATTCATTGATTGATTGATTGACTGATCAATGAAACTTGATTGTTGATTGATTGATTGATTGATTGATTGATTGATTGATTGATTGACTGATCAATGAAGTAGGGAATCGTCAAATTTCTGCAAATTTTCTTTTTTTTCTGTTCTACTCAAGTTGTCACCTTGATTATCGCCAATTAACACTACCCTCGGATTTGCACTAATCACGAATTCGCGCTAATCCATGTTTAGAGCTCTAACCCTAATCAAGATTAGCAACTAATTAACGGATTAAAGTTTTGCAAATTGTTTTTCTTTCATTTTCTTTTTGTTGTTGTAAGACACTAATTCTTAAGTTCGAACTTGCAAATCCGCAAATCTCGAATTTCCAAAAGTTTCGGCATTCCGTAAAATCTGTGCATTCCGCGAATTTCAATAACCCGAAAATTTCAGCATTCCACGAAATGAGCAAACTCCGTGAATTTCGAAAACTCCGAAAATTCCGGCCATTCCGCGAATTCTGCGGGAACTGTGTCTAAACAGACTTAGGGTTAGTTTCTAGGAATGAACTTATTTCAGATTTCCTGTTTAAAAAATCATGATTTTTGAATTTTTCATTGAGTTATTCCGTTTTCTGAAAATCGGCATAATTCCAAGAAATTCTTTTCCAAAAATTTCAATTATTTTCACCAATTTTTTTGCAATTCTTTTCCTAGCCCCATTACCGAGTGAGATTCGTTTTTGTTTTCAGATTGACAAACCTAGTTCAAAAGCCGGATTTCACCCCTTTTTTTACTGCTCGTTATCTAATAGATGCCTCCCTAATTCTCAAATCGACAAATTTCAACAAAAAAAAAAAAAGATAGATCTTTTTCTTTTTCATTTTTTTTTTCCTTTTGATTAGTACCCGAGATTGAAAATTGCAGCCCGGTTGTTTGCCCTGTCTGCGTGTTTTCTTCCCATCCTGCTTTGTACTTCAACAAGTGCCAGGTCAGCAACTGCCACATCAGCAAGTGCCACAACAACAAGTGCCACATCAGCAAGTGCCACGTCAGCAAGCGCCATGCCAGCAGCAGGGCCACGTCAGCCAGTGCGGTGTCACCCGACGCAATACACCTGACTGCAGCAAACGCATCGCAGAACGTGAAGGCGGGCAGCCGCAGCAAAGCAGCAACTACCCCTTCCCCTCCCCTCTGCGATGAGGGCACAGGGCAACCCCACGATGGACAATGCCGCATCCGGAAGTCCACGCGAGGTGTGCAGCTCGAACCCTCTGGTCCCACAGGTCCAGCAGGTGGTTTCCACTGCGACACCTGCCGGAGCCCTCGACGCTGCGCCAGTCCAGCAGCAGGGTGAGACAATGACGGCCTTTATGGCCCGCCTGTCCACCTACATGCAGCAAGTCAAGAGGAACAACGACGCGAGGCGGCAGCCGAAGCCGCACGCCTCAACGCCATTGCACGTGACGCGGAACAACGGCGCCGGCAGCAAGCTGAAGCAGCTGCCAACCATAATCAAGCTCGACGAGATGCCGCATCCGTCCTCATGCAGCAGGAAGCCGCTCATACCGCCGCACTCCAAGAATGGAATTTTGATCCGACGGAGGCGCATGCGGAACCGACTACGGAGGAACGGACCAAGTCAGCCCTCGCCAACATCATGCACCAAGTCATCCTCACTTGTAACTGGCAACAAGTGGAGTTGGCTTGGCAGGCATATCATTTCCAATCACGAGGAGACTCTCAAGAGTCTCCATGCCCACCTTGAGGAACTGGAGAAGGATGACGTGCTGCACAGGCACATGGCATCCTCAAGCATCAATCCATCGATCCGCGAGCTGGAGGAACGAATGGATCACCTGGTAGCGCTCATCGGCAATTTGAACAGCTTCCAGCGGCTGGCGACCATCAGCCGACAAATGGCTGCAGTACAAGCTGACCTGCGTCAGCTGCAGCAGCAACCAACCGGGACCTGCAACAGCATGACGTCCAAACAATACAGGATGCCGAAGTTGAACATTGAAAAGTTCGATGACTACCACAAGGCGGACCCCGTGAGTTGGTGGCAAGGTTTCACCAACGAGCTCTCTATTCACTTAATCCAGAATCTCAGCTCTTTACCTCTGCAGCATCGGTGCCAGCCAAGTGTGGCTCAACCACCTGGCACAAACTGAAGGCGTCGAGGACGCAAAACTCTACACCAAGTTCACTTGGGAGGCCATGACCGAGAAGTGGCGTGAACGTTTCATCATCAACGACGCTCAAAGCAAAAGCGCGAACCGGATCTTTACCATGCAACAAGGCAGCCAGCCAACACGCAAATGGCTAACCGAGTGGCAGAAAATTTGACGATCCCGCATTTGGATATACCTTTCGTGCATCTTCGTAGTGGATTCTTCCAGTGGTCGGTTGACGCATTAAGCACGGCCCTTGGGGAGCGCAGCCTGTACACGGACTTTGACCAGATCGTGGAAAAGCCTCGCAAGGTAATCCAAACAAATCGGTGGGCCGCCAACGAGCGGCGAAACCAACCGAATTTTGTGGAGAAAGGCAAAGGCCCGCGGACGCAGTCAGTCATTGCTGTCCAATCCGATGGACAAGATCATGACCAGGCACTGACTCACGAGTCTAGTGAGGGAGACGGAGTCAACGCCCTTCCACCAGGACGCAGCAACAACAAGAAGGCGAAATCTGCGTCAACAACGAAAATCAGACAGCCGAAAGAGCCATGGAAGAAATTATGCCTCACGATGAAGCAATACAAGCTCCGCCAAAAGTGGAATTGTTGCTACTGGTGCAGCAGCGCCAAGCACACGATGTCGTAATGCCCCAACAAAGGCAAAGAAGACGTCCGCCCACGACAAAGCTCGGGAAACTGA